CGCTGGAGGGACGGTGACCAGGCGACACATGAGTAGAAGGGGGGCCGGTCGTGCACGCAGTTGACGATGACATGGCCCGAGGCGACGGCAACGGAGGTGAAACGGCTCTGCGGCGGGGGCGTTTTGCCGGCTCCAGGAAGCAGGCGGACCCGACCGAGCTCGGCACGGTGTGGCCCCGGCGGGCGCTGCGGGGAGGGCGAACCGATGGTGGAGCGGCCTAGCGCGGGCCACGGAAACTCGCGTGCGCACGCACATGACGGCCACGGTCGGAGCAGCAGGCCCCAACGCGGACTTGAGGAGCGCGGGCGCGCTCGCTCGCGGGAACGGGCCAGCATCGGCGGGGCGCTGGCGTGCGGAACTGGGACGGCGGCTCCTGCGCGGCACCAAGGGGCACGCTCGAGGCGGTAGGGAACCGGAAGGTGGGCGCGGCCATGGCGTGCGGAGGAGGCGCATCGGAATGGCAGCGTAGTGGAGCTCGCGCTGGGGAGCAAGTCGAGCGAAGCCAAGCGCGGCACTGGTGCGTGGAAGGAGAGCGGCTTGGTGCTGCGTGGAGGTATAGCACCGTGGGCAGTTGGCCCAGCGTGGACCGCGGAACTCACGCGCGCGAGGTGGGGAAAAGAAGGGCGCCGGTGCACGCGCGGATGAGCAGCGCAAAGGAGCGCAGCGGGGCTCGATCAACGGCGGACTGGAGCTGGGGGCGCTTCCACCTTGGCAGCAGAAAAAGAGAGGGAGGGAGGAACAGCGTGAGGTTCGGCCTCCATGAGTTGATGCGACGCGGAATCGACAGCGCAGCACAGGCACCGACACGGCATGGCCAGACGGCGCTCGGCTCAGCTCTACGCGCGACCCAGCGTACGAGGCAATAGCGGCAGCAGGCCACGGCTTGGAAAATCAATCAGAGACAGAGACAGACAGAGCAGAGAAGGACGAGGAGGATTTGGCCTGGCCCAAGGTGGCCGGCAGAGCGTGTCGGTTGGCACGGACAGCTCCAAAGAGGTGCTCCTACGCGTGGTCAACTACAACAGCGACGTGGCCGGCAACGCGACGACGTCGAGAACAGGCGAGGATGAGACCGCGCAAGGCAGGCAAAGAGACAAGGAAAGAGCCATTGAAAAGCAAGCGCACGAGATAGAGCGGGTAAAAAGAGAAAGGACCTGGCGCACCGCCGCTCACAAAAAAAATAAAAAAATAGCGTATGCGATAGCTAATACTAGTACCAAGCCATGGAACAAAATATTAAAGCGTTGTGTGTTTATTTTATGCAAAACAAATCGCCACAAACCGCGCTTTAAAATATATCTTCCAAATTTTTACCGATGACGCGAAAAGCTGGTTTTTAAATTTTGTTTTAAAATCCGGAAAAATCATTTCGGTAATTTTTCTTTGGCCAGAATTGCGGTGTTAAACGAGATCGTAACACCGGGGTGTTACAAGTACAAGGTGGCAAAGAAGACTGCAAAGCGAGCTGTAAGTGTGGCAAAGGGTAGAGCGTACGAGGATCTTTACCAACATTTGAGTACGAAGAAAGGAGAGAAGGACATTTATAGGATGGCTAGGGTTTATGAGAGAAAGACAAGGGACTTCAACCAAGTTATGTGCATTAAGGATGAAAGAGAGCATCTCTTGGTGAAGGAGGATGAGATCCGACAACGATGGCAAGAGTATTTTGACAAATTGTTTAATGGTGAGAATATGGACACAACCTTTCAGTTGGATGACTCTTTTGATGACACCAATAGGCGCTTTGTGAGGAGAATTCAAGAATCTGAGGTCAGAGAGGCATTGAAAACGATGAAAGGAGGTAAGGCAATGGGACCGGATGGTATCCCAATCGAGGTGTGGAGATGCCTCAGGGACATAGCTATAGTATGGCTAACCAAGTTGTTCAACCATATTTTTCGATCAAACAAGATGCCTGACGAGTGGAGGAAGAAGTATGTTGATACCGATCTACAAGAATAAAGGGGATATTCAAAGTTGTACTAGTTACCGGGGAATTAAGTTGATGAGCCATACTATGAAGCTATGAGAGAGAGTTACCGAGCATCGCTTGAGAGTAATAACGCGGGTCTCTATGAACCAATTTGGTTTCATACCCGAAAGGTCAACCATGGAAGTCATTTCCTTAATAAGACAAGTTATAGAGCGTATAGGGAGAAGAAGAAGGACCTACACATGGTTTTTATTGACTTGAAGAAGGCTTGTGATAAAATACCAAGGAATGTTATGTGGTGGGCTTTGGACAAACATAAAGTCCCAACGAAAAACGTCGGGCTCATTAAGGACATGTACAATAATGTTGTGACTAGTGTTTGAACAAGTGATGGAGACACGGATGACTTCCCGATTAGGATAGGACTACATCAAGGGTCAGCTTTGAGCCCTTATCTGTTTGCCTTAGTGATGGATGAGGTCACAAGGGACATACAATGGGACATCCCTTGGTGTATGCTTTTCGCGGACGATGTAGTGCTAGTTGATGAAAGCCGGACATGAGTGAATCAGAAACTATAGTTATGGCAGGAGACTTTGGAGTCCAAAGGTTTTAGACTCGGTAGAATTAAAACCGAGTATATGAGATGTGACTTCGGCACTACTATTAGGGAGGAGGAAGATATTAGTTTAGAAGGTCAAGTAGTGCCTAGGAAGGATACCTTTCAATATTTAGGATCAATGCTACAGAGAGACGGGGATATTGATGAAGATGTTAGCCATAGAATCAAACCAGGGTGGATGAAGTGGCGCCAAGCATCTGATGTCCTATGTGACAAAAGGGTACCACAGAAGCTAAAATGTAAGTTTTATAGGACGGCGATTAGACCTGCTATGTTGTATGGTGCAGAATGTTGGCCTACGAAAAGACGACATGTTCAACAGATAAGTGTTGCAGAAATGCGTATGTTGTGTTGGATTTGCGGTCATACAAGAAGGGATCGAGTTCGAAACGATGATATACATGATAGATTAGGGGTAGCACAAATTGAAGAAAAGCTTGTCCAACACCGGTTGAGATGGTTTGGACATGTCAAATGGAGACCTCTAGAGGCACTGATGCGTAGTGGAATCCAAAGCTAGGATAGTAATGTGAAGAGAGGCAGAGGAAGATCGAAGTTGACTTAGGTAGAGGCAATAAAAGGAGACTTGAAAGGATGGAATATACCTAAAGACTTAGCCTTAAATAGGAGTACTTGGAAAACAGCTATTCACGTGCCTGAACCTTGATTGCTTCTGCTGGGTTTCAACTCTAGCCTACCCTAACTTGTTTGGGACTTAAAGGCTTTGTTGTTGTTATTGTTATTATTATTGTTGACTTATAATTTGGAACGGAGGGAGTAGCATATAGTAGTAGTATGCATCATTGTGTCATTGGTGTTAGTTCTGGTGTGTTCCTAGTCTTCACTCACTGGACTGAAATACTACTGGCTCAGCGTGACTGATAGAGTGAAGTCATTACTCAGCTTTTAAAAATGGAAAAGGTTGTTACAAGTGCCTAATTCCAGATAAGCATTCTGAAGTGACGGCAAAAGGTGGTTAATAACCGCCAAAATGACAGCTGCAGCCTGCATCTGTCCATTTATGCATGCGCTTCTGAAAATTCCAAGCAGGACTTGACAGTTTCTGACTTGTGGATCATTGTGAATATAGCCCCAACCACTACCATCAGGAAGACGGGCACTGATGTTACCTTGTAATGTGCACTGCTAGTTGATTAGTCCACTATGCAATCATATTTCCATGGAAATTGCTTGTACCACCCTATTGGGTGAGGTTAAAGAATACTGCATGTGTCTGATATTGGTCAAGGAATCTTTTCTCTGAATCCTCCAAATAAACTTTGACTGCGCACAGCAATGTAATCAGAGAAGAATACATGTGAACAAACAAAGATGGCAGGCTTCTGGCGTGTGTACTCTGGTCACAAAACTCAAAGAGAGCTTATTTGTTTATTGAGGTTTATTCATTTTTTTTTTGAGCTCTCTGCACTGGCGAAACTTAAAGAGTTGGAAGGGAATAATACTTAAGGTAAATTCTAAAGTGGATAAAGGACACAAGCGTGGAGGTGCAACTGCACTGCACGTGAAGGCATCATCGACAGCAATGGGAATATGGAGCCTTTTTCCTGAAGCTTTTTTTCCCGGCAAGAACTTTTCTGAATGCTTTCACTGCAGAAATTAATAAAAAAAGGCTCTATGCTTTGGACTTCAGTGGAAAGGCAAGCCTGAAAAAATGGCTGATGCCATCACATAAAGGGATGAACAATGGTCTGAAAGGATGCATTGCTTATTTCTTGACACATGTTCGCCCTCTTTGTTCTAGAGGTGGTCTGAACAAAGGTGTGCCCAAAGGGACTTGAGAAAAAGACTTGGAAAAAATTTGCACTCTGAACAAACTCAAGTCTAAAAGGTTTTTGGCTTCAGATATGCGAAGCTACCGGAATTGTAAGCAACGACTGAATCAGCAAAGTTGATACGAATTGCAAGGGAAATGTATTAGGACATGTACGTCTGACAAATTGATTATCAGAAAGTGTAAAGTAGCACTTTCAGACAAGTCAGTGTGGGCTTTCAGACATCATAATCCACTAGTCATCCTCATATCATGTGCACGAACAGCTGTATACATCCTTCCATACGTTTCTACAAGTACAATCAAACACCAAGGAAAAAGATATACCAAACAAGCTCCACTGAAGCACTACATCAAATTGGCTTCAAACATTTGTACCAAAAAAATGAACACCTCACAAGGTCGCAAATTGGCATGTAGGATAGTAGTACTTACTGACAAATATGAAGAGAAACATATTGATCTGAACTGAAATTGTCAATTCCTCATCGGTTTGATGTTATATACATCCAATCACTGATTCAAATTTGGTGTGGTCACAAGACCATAGACCAAACAAAAAGAAAAGAAAAAAAAAGTTTTACTACATCACAAGAGCTACTACAATAGCAGAACACTGAAGAATGCACAGGGAGGGAGTATGAAGAAAATCGTTAATCCATCAAAACCTCCTGTCCATCTGAACAGCTCTGCTCATCAGTCGCGCGCTCACTGATGGCCGCCGCTGGCGGCGTCGCGGCGTTGGGTGGCGAAGGCGACGACGACGGCATGGGGATGACGCGGTTGTTCTTGGCCACCACGATGGTGATGTACCCGCCATCCTCGTCAGCAGCGGCCGCCGGCGACCTCGGCGACCTCCGCGCCCTCATGGCCTCCTCCTCGGCGAGAACGCGGCGGTAGAGCTTCTCCTCGGCGTCCCTGAGGAACTGGAACTTGGGCGGCGGCGACACCGCCGGGGCAGCGCCCGGGCCCGGGCTGGCCGCGGGGGACTTGAACAGCGGGTTGTAGGAGTTGTCCATTGCGGCCGTGGGCACGGGCGACGGCGATGCCCTGGGCGTGAGGAACGGCGGCGTCTCGGCGCAATGCAGCAGCTCGCCGAGGCTGCGGCTCCGGCCGCGCCGCCCTCCGTCCTCGGACTCCAGGTCTTCCCGGGTCTCCTCCTTGATGGTGAACAGCAGGCGCGTGGGCCCTACGATGCTTCCCAGCCGCATCAGCTGCGCCTCCACCGTCTCGTCGTCGTCGCCGCCGCCGCTGCCGTCGACGGCCACCGCCACGGCGGAGGCCGGCTCGGGGACGGCGTAGGTAGACGCGAGCGCCGCTGGCGGCTTCTTGAAGCAGAAGAGCTGGAGCAGCTCGCGCGAGGAGGAGGACGGGGACGACGCCGCGTCGGAGATGGCCGCGGCGCGCCGCCGCTGCCGGCGCTTGTGCACGAAGATGTAGTAGAGCTCGGCGGTGAGCGCCAGCAGGAGCAGCGACGACACCACGGCCAGCCCGACGCCGACGCTGCTCAAAGCTCTCATTTCTCCTCCCCTTGCTTTATCTTATCCAGTGGCGTCTCCTCCGTTTGGCAGAAAGAAAACTAAAAGCTAGCTTGGATCCACCATTAGAGACAGAGGAAGGGAGGAATGCGGAGGTGAACGGAAGAGCAAGAAAGCAGAGCAGCAAGAACTGAAAGCTCTGCGGCCTCGAAAGATTGACAGGGAGTTGCAGCCAGCAGGGAATGGAGCTGAATCTACAGGGCGCTGGATTTTGCCACCTATGCCTGGCTCTCAGAAGGAAGAACCGTTAGAAACTGAAACAACCACCAGTCAGAGCAGACTGCTAAGAAGAGCTGCATCTGTGGAATGAAGCAATGAAAGAGCTGACGCTGAGCAGGAAGAAGAAGGAGAGCACAGCACGGACAGTTGACCCAAGCAGCCAAGCCTGCAGCTGCAGCGTCAGGGGAGGAGTGGAGGAGGAGGAAGACAGAGGACCAAGTAGGCAAACCAGAGCAGGGATGGAGGGAGGGACAGAGTGCACCGAAACAGATGTAGCAGTGACTGACTCGTATGGTGAATTGGAGGTGATAAGGCGACGTCTCTGCGTCCAACGGAGAAGAGAGAGAGAAGCAGAGAGGTAGTAGGGGACGCGGCTTCACATCACATGGGGGAGGTGGTGCTGAGTGAGACCCGAGAGAGAGAGAGATGAGTGTGAGTGCTGTTTGCTTCTGCAAAAGCCAAGCAAAAATTGTCTCTGAGACTGAGAGAGGAGAGAGAGAGAGAGGAGGAGGAGGAAAAAGCTGAATAAAAAAAAAAACAAATGGATGTGTCTGGATTTGGAGCAGTCTTGATTGGATTGCGGACGCTGATGCTGATGGCCACGATGATTAGCATTAGCTTAGGTGACCTATTCAGAGCTCATGGATCCATCCGAGCTAAGTTTATATATTCTAGAACACCCAACTCGATTCTCTGAATATTTTTTGGGCGATGTTGGTGACCTTGCCTGCCTGAATTTTTCATCGTTGCAACTGGTAGGTCCAAGATTCTCTCACCAGTCACCAGCCAAAGGATCTGACGACGCCAAATAAACTGACCGATGAAATTCCACTGGTTTTCATCTGCAGGTTGCAAAGACCGTGCCTTGCCGTTACAAATGGTGCTCCATCTAGCTTTTGAAAGGGGTTTAGTGCTTTAATCACCTCGAGACAAGGGCTGTGCATGCATTTTCTGATGAAATTCCACTGGTTTTTCATATGCAGGTTGCAAAAAGGCTGTCACAGACTTACAGTCACCCTGAAAGGCTGAAACTGAAACTGCATTGCAGCACGTCTCAGTTCAGTGCACTAATGATGGTCCACGAAGGGGTTTAGAGCTTTAATCACCCCAAGACAAGGGCTATGATTTTCACACTTTAAAAACACATGCACCACTAGACATAATCCATTGCACTCACATGCATATACTAGTACCAGACTACTACTAATAGTAGACTCAATCCATTGCATGCACTGGCCGACCCCTTAATTAAAGTAAGCAAGCTTCCACAAGATTCATTGGCATTTCAAAATTTCAGGAAGTGGGTTTGATTTGTAGGTGAGGAGGGGCACCGGACACGGCATCTCCTTATCTGGTCCCAAACTCCCATTTGGGAGCACCTAGCTAGCTTCACACGCTGAAAATTGAAATGCTTGCGCGACCAAACAAATGGTTCAGCTCATTCTTCAGCACCTTCTCACCAACCGTGTAAATGCGGATGTGTACAGGCGCGCATACGGACAGAAGAGTATGTACTGTGTAGTAGCACTGTGGTCCTTGTCAATTTTCAGTATGCCAACCTTCAGTGTGAAAAGGTGCAAGTTTGTAGATATGCATGAGTTCTGTAATCCAGCCTAGCTCTGTACATAATGTTTTCTTATTAGCAAGTAGTAAGTAGCATGGTTCTAAGATTTACTTGGAGCTAGAGAGATCAGCTTATTACTAATTAAAGTGTATGTACCACTCACTCACTCAACATGTGCTCAATTAGCCGTTGCGACATCACAAGATTGGTTGACTGTTGCTTTTCTTTCATTCTTTTTACTTTAAAAAAGAGGATATATCATCCATGATGAGGAATCAGCTGGGTGTTGAATTGAAAAATGTATGATCATCAGTATGGATATATATGTATATATATCTTGAATTCCTGGAGTGAGATGGTGGTGTCAGATATAAAGCTTTTCAGAGGCTAGCTGAATGACGAAGACCAAGCGGATATGGAATACTCATTTTATATATGTCACCGGAGGGGAGGGATGGACAGGCTGACATACAGTGATGCAACAGAGCAAGAGGGTACACAAACAGGCCATGAGACGTAAAACTGAAAAGCTGGCCTGGCCTTTTAATCTACAGGCCCATCATTGACAATGAACCTACATAAGTGCATTAGTGCATATGCACATCAATGATCTTTTTTCATTTCAATTCCACTGGGCACCTGAGCAGCCCTTTTCATTCCAACACTAGGATTGCTAGCAGTAGTAAAGCATGAGATGGCACAGGAGGGACTGTAGTAGGACCTGCAGGTGGAGCTGCACATGCATGCATGGTTGGACATTAAAACGGGAGACAGCTGAATCAGATGATTAATTAAGGGGACTGGATTATGCACGATATACTACTACAGTGACAGAGCAGATTCACTCGTGTGTTAGCTTCCAATTATGTTCTCTGCAAGGGCAAGGCAGTGCAGCATGTATCTATGAGATGAGGAGACCGGTTCCAGATTTCCAGGCCATCTGCAGACAGATGAACAGACGCAGTTAGGTGACCCATCAGCAATAATGTTGGTATCTCAAGATATGAAAGTGTTTGTTGTTAACTGCTTAAGACGATGGACATGCCGAATGCCAGACAGGTGGGCCCCACATTGTGAGCGTGAGTGGGCGGACCAGGCATGCATACATGCAGCTGAAATCATGCATGCGCTTGGGGGGCAGAACGGCCACATGGCATGCTTACTGGGTTGTGGGCTGGGTATGAGGGTAGTAATAATAAATACTATCACACTGGTGATGGGCCGGATCTGGTAACTCAGAAATTTCAGTGATGAGCATCCAGATAGAAGGAGAAGGCCCAACACACTGGTGCAACACAATAATCTTGGCCATTCTTCTAAGAGAGGAATCATTGCTGTGGTCCAGACTTGGATCATGGTGCAACTTCTGAAAGATTGGCTAAAGGCAGCTCTGCTCTGGGGTTATTGGTGGGCCTTTAGCACTAAAGAACTCCCTTGTTCCTGGGCTGACTGACATAGAGAATTGAGGATGGTCAGTGTGCTAGAGCATTGCCTCTTGAACCATATTGTTTGTCGACTCCTCTACTTGCTGAAGTTCTGCTTGCGGTACTGGTATGCACTGCTGCTCTGGCCAAGCTTGCCAGACACCATTTAGATTAGCTGTTGCTGCCGCATCAGGCAAATGAATTGGTTCCCAACACTCATCCATATTAGCCTGTTGCATTTCATCCAGATCCTGCAAGATATCAAAAACTGGCTGCGGCTGATGTAGCTGATCTTGCTGACCTGAGAGAGGGTGAGGATTTCCATCAACAGGAATTAGGTCTTCATCACCTGCCTGTGCATCATTAAACTCTGAATTGAACACAAATACCGGTACACTCCAGCAGTTACCAGCACCTCCAAACAGAGAACCTTGATAAACAATAAGTTTCAAGTAAATTCTTTTTGGAATTTATATCTTGCTTATCATTTATCCATGACCTCCGATAAAATTTTATTTCCGAATGAAAACTGAGCAAAACGAACCAAAAACAATCTAGATTTAAACTGAATGACTGAGCAAACGCTCAGGTGACAACCGAACACAAAATGAGCTTATAGCCTGTGTAATGAACTCTTTGGTCTGGAATGCAGAGGAGAAGCTAGACACATAATCCAACAAGTTATCCTGAACGGGCAGACACGTAGATTAATTCCACGATCATGTTCCTCCACAACAATTTCAACACCATTCAGAATGTGGACTCAGATTCAACATGTTCCTCTTGGAAGTAGTCGATCACAGCATCCATTGCATCATGAAGTTGGTGCCGCTCCGGCGCTGGATGCAAAGTGATGATGGAAAAGTCATCATGTCGCCGCAGGGGGTTGCGGGAATCACTGTACGACCCCTTGCTGGACGAGCCAGTTTTCTAGATCAAAACCGAGGGGATGTATGGCTCGGGGTCGATAGCAAAGTTGGCCATTGCTTGTGGAGGTGGTTGAGGAACACTCACCAAAGGCGGCGACGGCACTGTAGATTGGGAGAGGTTGGGGTTTTCGTCAAGCTCCACAAAGGAAGGCGAGGAGTCGGTACCTTTCTCGTGAACAACCGGTTCAAAGGTTCAACTCTGAGTTATCACGATCATCTCGAGTGAAAGGACGCAAAGACTTGGGCCTCCAAAAAATCTTGGGCTTTGTTTAGTAAGACACCAACGGGCCTTGTGTCCATAATTGAGAAGGATTTGCAGCGACCTTTTGGGCCACAGTTGGAAAAGGAGTGGCCCAAACCCAGACACTTCCCACAACGATGGAGCTCCAAATTACCGCCCAAAATTTGGGCTTGATCCACGCTTGTAGGCAAAATAGAACGAATCAGAATTTGACCGTCGATTTCTACCAGTGAAACTAAGAGGTTGATCTTGCAAACTCTGCAAATTCTATTTATGCACCTGAAAATTGAAGACTACCACAACAAGGTAAAAGAGCTCTTCCACGATGCCTCCAGCGAGGTGAATGACGTCGAAACGTAATCATCGTCAGCCTAGCAGGAGCTTGGCAAGGTTTTCACCGGAGCCTTATGCCGAAGGTAGCTGCATCGCAACGGAGGAGGGGGGGGGGATCCGGTTGCCGCCACACCGCGCGGAGCCATTCTCAGACTTGCGCGCGTCGATGGGGGGCGCGCACTGGCAAACTTCTGCGCCTGGACGTAGAGGGGCTGTGCCAGCCACCGCCACACCGTGTGCAGCCGTTCCCGGACTCGCCCGCGACGGTGGGA